CTCCCCCCCCGTGATAGGCCCTGGATGTAACAAAAGCCTTTAAACACTGTCAGCAGAGCAGGTTTGCTCAAGGTCCTGGTAAATATTGGATGCTGCCGAACATTACTCAGTCTGATGCTCTCCTTCCATGAAAACATGCAGGCCCCAGTTCAGTTTGATGGATTAACCTCTGACAGGTTTGAGGTGAATAGTGGAGTGAAGCAGGGTTGTGTTCTGGTTCTCACACTTTTCGGGATCTAACTCTCTATGCTGCTCCATTACACTTTTGATAGCTTGGAGGAATGCATGTACCTTCACTTAAAATCAGATGGCAAACTCTACAATCTGTCACGTCTAAAAGCCAGTCTAAAAGTGAGGCACGTACTCATTAGGGAGCTCCTTTTTGCTGACAATGCTGCACTGACTGCCCATGAAGAAAGCCAACTACAAATACTCATGATTTGCCTCATGATTGCAGAATGTTTGCCCTGACTATCAACATTAAGAAGACTGTGGTCACCAGTCACCATCTATCAGCCTTGACAATATACCTCTTGAGGCAGTGAACAAGTTCTGCTACCTTGGATCCACAGTGAGTGACAGCCTATCATTGAATGAAAAGCTAAATGTGCGCATTGGAAAGGTTGCTACCACTCTCAGTAAGCTCTCCAAATGAATCTGGAACAATACAACATTTATAATTAAAACTAAGCTGTTTGTCTACAAAGCATGTGTCCTCTCTGTCCTTATGTATAGCAGTGAGACATTGTCAATATGTGTATATCAAGAAAAGAAGCTGAACAGCTTCCACCTACGCTGCCTGTGGTGCATCCTTGACATCAAGTGACAAGACAGAATTGCCAACACATTGCGCCATTGCCAAAGCCAACCTTCCAACTATCACTGTACTACTCAAACAGCAGCACCTTTGTTGGCTTGGCCAACTCTGCAGGATGGAAGATGGGCACATCCTGAAGAACATCCTGTATGGGCAAATTGTAGGTGGGAAGAGAAAAGTGGGGTTCCCAAAATTTGTGCTTTAAAGATGTTTGCAAGCAGGACTTGAAAGCTTTTGTAATTAATGTAAACCTTTGGGAGGCTTTAGCAGGAGACAGGACTAAGTGACACTCCCTTCTCAATCATGGAGTCAAACATCATGACAAGAAATGGTTACTTGAATTACAGCAGAAATGTGACTGAAGGAAAAGACCTGTCCTAATGCCATGTAGACCTGTGATTGCCGTGGCAGGACCTGCAAGTCTAATATTAGTCTGTATAACCACAGGAGAAAATGCATCGCCAGTCAGTAGAATAGCTGCAATATCCATCATCACTTGCTGATGACTGGATGCCATAATTAGGCTGTATGGCTCTCCCAGCAAATGTCAGGGTGATTGAAGTCCCTCATGATGAGAACCAAAGCCTGTGATTGGGAAACTTCCATTAGTTGTCTGTGATAGACATAAAACTTCTCTATAATCATTTAAGAATACCATGGGTGGACTTGGAGATGTTTTGTGTGAATATATTGGTTTAGTTTCAAGTGGGGGAACTGGGAGGAAATCGGTCAAGAAGGAAAGAAGAACTTTGAATATTCTCCTCGGTTCCAACTAAGTTAAAAAATTAGTCTGATAACTAAGACCAGTGTCAGGGGACCAAAATGAAATCAAAAGAACTTTATATTTTAAGTAGGAATTCCTTACAAGATGTGAGGGATTTTCAGGGAGTTGCTGTGGGAGAACCTAACAAATTTTATGTGAATTTAGGTTTGAGGCTGATTAAAATCTTATGTTCATATAATTTGCTCTAAACTGTTCAAAACTCTTTTCCTTACTCTGCTTTGTGTCTTGTATTATAATTAAACAATAATTTAGTTTTAGGAGGCATGCTTTGTCTTTTGTAGACTCACAAAGGAAGAAGTTCAGCCAGGGGTGGATTAATGCACAGGCCCACGGGCTCCCTGGGGTGCCGGGGCAGCACGACCCAAGCAGGCATCCTGGCTGCAGGCATTTGGGGCAGGCAGCGTGCACCTCCTCACCTCTTGCCAAGCCAGGGCCAGAGGCTATGTGATGGGTGTGGGGCCCTGTGCAGATGGCAGTGGCTTCCTGGGACTGTCTGTTTCCAGGAGGCCCCATGGGCGGCCCCTGTTCTGCTCTCCACCATCTGCAGGTGGCCTCTGGCACTAGCGCTGCTGGGACAGGATAGGATGGGACAGCTTTGCCCTGCTGGGACTGACAGAGGGGTGGGTGTGCAGATGGGGGTGGCACAGAGCCCATGCTTCCTTCCCTCCCTCCAGCTGGCTGGCCCGGGCCCCAACCTGTCCTGCAGTGCTGGGGTACTGCAGCCCCGGCTGTGCAACAGTCACCAGGTGGAGGGGCTGGGCCAGGTTGGAGCCAGCGCAGCTGTAGGATCCAGCCCAACATGATATGTAAGAGAATTGAAGTTGGTCACTTGAGAGAAGTGGATAATATTCCAGCCAAGAATAACTAAAGGCTTCAGGCCTAACACTGAAGAAAAATCAGACAGGGAATGGGTACAGTTGCCTTGGCACCACCAATTTAGGGTTTTGTTTTTTTTTATCTGCGTAACTAAGGCTACTCAATTGCTGGAATGAAAAAGGAGATACCGTATTTTCTTGCATACAGTGCTGCACAGAATATAATACCTTATTTATGAAAAGCAGAATGAAGGAGAAAATACTTCTCCGGAGTTATGGCTGCATAGAGCAATGACAGAGTCTAATCTTCAGCTGACTTGCCCTTCTCCTTGCAGGAGTGGCTCCAGCCTCTTCCCGGTGGGGGTGCTGGGCCTGGCTGGGGGCTCCACCCCTCCCATCGCTGCCTGCCTGCCCCACACAGCTGAGCCCACCCCACTCCTGTCTGCTCTGAACCCAGCCCCCCACCCTCCCACTGGGAAGTGCTCCGGCATCAGCTCCATACTGCTGGTGAGTTCACATGCACCTCAGAGCAGATGGTGGGGGAGAGGCCTGAGGTAGCGCAACCCTGGCTCCTCCCTAACTATCTGCTTTGAGGCGCGTGTGCACTCGTGGTTTGGAGCTGATGCCAGGGCTCTGGAGCAGGGGCAATGCCTGCCTCTTCCTAGTGGTGGGGGGCTGGGTTTGACTTGGCTGGGAGGCTCCACCCCTCCCAGCGCTGCCTCCACTGTGCTGCTCTGCACCACTGAGCCTGCCCCATTCCCGCCCGCTCCAAACCCAGCCCTAGCCTCTCCTACCACCACTGGGAAGAGGCTGGTGCCACTCCTGCCAGGAGCATGGCACCTTAGCAGGCTTAGCTGCGTGGGGTAGGCGGGGAAGGCAGTGGTGCTGGGAGGGGTGCCTAGGAGAGGCTAAGGTAAATTTTGGGGTGGCTGTAGTCCCCCCAGTTTTCCCCCTAGCGCCACCCCTGATCCTAATGCAATTCTGAGTTCAAGCTTAGAGTTGCTTAGATCTGAGTCAGTTGGGAACGGGTTTAAACGAACCCAAAATAAGCAACCTTATTACATCATAATTATTTTCTAAAACAATGGAAAAAGAATTAATATTTTTATGTTGAGACAAGAACTTCAGTAAATATGGCAATTATTTCAGTTAGTTTAAGTTAAAATAGAGTTTGACGGCTTCAGTCTCCATTCCTGGTTCTGTTGGTTAATCAGTATAAGAAAAATTATATTGCTTTTTCTTACAGTGGCAACATAGAACTCTTACCTGCAGGTGAGGGGAAAAGAAACAGTTAAAACTACTCTATTTCTCCTGAATTTTGGGAGCTAAGGGGACTGGAACAACACTCAACTTTATTTAGGCTGTGTACAAATGTTCAATCCTAGCAGAAAAACCTCCACTGTTAGAACTGATTTTGGGAGAGGGAGCAGTACAGATATTCAGTCTGCAACTTCTCCCTCTCCTTTGCTTTTTGCATCTTCATAGACCAGAATGATGTTGGTTTGAAGATAGCATGGGTTGCTCCAGTACGGTAAAGCCTCCTTTCGACATTTCAAACTGGGGACTTTGGAGTGAGAAGCAGGTAGGAGGCTGCGCTGCTCCATGCACTCTTCTCCCAGTACCTGGGAGCCAATTGGTGGGAGACATGGGTATCAAATCCATTAATTTTGTAGAGCAACAAAGCCTTGATTAGAGGGAGCAGTACAAATTACAAGCCCTTTTTTCTTCTTACAGTGTCTGTATAAATAACTTATGCAAAGTAATTTTATTTAGGCCTTTCACAGGGATGCAGAATTTTATCTTGTATTTATGATAAATTTGTTTGTTTAAATCTTTTTTTTGATGGCACACTTTTTTGGCTTTACTGTGATGGATTCAAGAAATATAACTGAATAAATTCTGCATATTTTGCAAATATTCCATATACATCTGACAAGTTGTTTCAATCACCATTTTCATGTTTGCTTGTAATTGGTAAGTAACTATAGGAATTAATATAAATTTGTGTTTTTTTTCTTTCAGAATACACTGAACTTGTATGTCATTTGGAATCCAGAGACTAGAAATTAAAACAATCCTAATTTTTTCAGAATAAAAAGCAATTATGCAACGACGACAGAGAGGATTAAATATGGGATTAATTATGCTACTCTCTCAAATCTTTCAAATTGGGCTTACTAACATTCCACCTGTAACACTTGGGACCGTAGTATTGAACATTTTTCTCTTTTTGAATCCTTTGAAGCCATTGATAAAAGCATGTATCAGTGTAGAAGAGGGTTATTACCAAAAAGACTGGCAGCGTTTGTTGCTTGCGCCAATACACCATGCAGATGATTGGCATTTATATTTTAACATGGTCTCCATGCTCTGGAAGGGGATAATGTTGGAACGAAAGCTTGGAAGCATATGGTTTGCATATATCATTTCAACATTTTCAGTATTAATTGGAGTTGTGTATATGGTGTTGGAATTTGCACTTGGAGAATTTATGAATGACCCATCGTACAACTTGAACTGTGCTGTAGGTTTTTCAGGTAAGGCATCTGATTAGTGCAGGTTAACTTAGTATCTGGTACATGTGTTCCATAGTATCTTTTACAGTAGTGGAGCTCAACCTTTTACAGCAACGGGCTGAGTGCTTGCAACCCAGCTGTACCACAGGTCACTACACCTCTCCAGTAGTGGGGAAGTGGGGAGGAAGGTGGCAGTCAGTGTCAGAGGTAGGGATGGGAAGGTAAAGAGAAAGGGAACTTAGTTTTGGCCTGTGGGGAGGATCAGTGGTATGGTACAGGGCAGGGATGGGGACATGTCAGGCTGAGTTGATTGCTACTGGTGCCTCATGCTGTGAGCCAGATCCAGTTATGTTGGGGGCTAGATCAGGCTTGCAAGCTGTAGGTTGAACACCATGGTTTTGGAGTATGAAAAGTGGAATTACTTTTTATTTTTTTCTAATGGTGGTCAAAAAAGTACATATACTTCAACTACTTTGGGTATCCATGTGGTATGTGTGTGCCCCATGCAGTTACATCGGACTCCATGGGCCAGTGGTGGCTGAGGGCACACCTATTCCCTAGATGTCCACATGCCTTCACCTGAAGGAAGGAAGGGGCTGAGCAAGCCCAGTTAACTCTGTTTCTTTCCGTTACAATGTTTTGGGTTCTCATTATTTTTGCAGTAACGGAATTGCTGTTATTGGTGAAAGTTGAACTAAATTATGTGAAGTGGTACATCTTTATCTTTTATTCTGTTGTAAGGACTAAAGAATTCTAACTCCATCACTGCAGGATGGCTTCCATTAGCAGTTATTTCTGGAACTTAGAGATCCTGAAATTATATGCAATACAATTCTTGAAGAATTCAGAATTCCTGAGTCTTCTGTTGAGTTCCACGAAACTCATTCACCTCTGTTTTCAAGCCTTAGGGGCATTTATGCACAAACCTTGTTGTCCCATGATGTGGTGGATATCCAGTGAGTTGGAGCAGACTCGATTAATTGAGTACACATGCTCAGTTAATCAAGTTTGCTCTGCACAAGCTGACATGCACTGTGCTGTGTTGCATGCAGTTGTACAAGTGGTAAAATGCACATCAGCCTGCAGAAAATGGCGGTGGTGCACTTTAGAATAAAAACACCTCCACTTTTAAAAGTGTCTGGTGTTGCAGCACAAGCATGTGTACAAAATGCTAGGGGTTTTATTGGTAGGTCAGTAACTTAGATCACTAGTATCATTGCTAGCCCCATTATTCATTTGTTGTGCTGTTCTGAATATTAAATACATATTGTGGACAGGTATGTTATAAATTACTTAGGATATACCAGACTAAAATATAAATTCTAGTCTACGCTGAAAAGATTTCATTGTTGGAGGAAAAATGTTACAATTATAAAATTCTGCATCTTCTATATTTGAAGTAAAAATGTAGGCTTGAAATTTTGTGGAGAAATAGCATGATATTAAGTGTAACCATACTGGAAATGAGTCTCTTCTTTTTATGTTTTTCAGTTCCTTCAGTTTTGAACACTATCAGAGCTGCAGGTATTTCACTCTTGATGTGATTATTTTGTTTTATTCTTTTCAGGAGTACTATTTGCTTTGAAAGTTCTGAACAACCATTATAATCCAGGAAGGGTCAGCAACGTCATGGGCATTCCTGTATCCAGTAAATATGCTTGTTGGCTGGAGCTTGTGGCAATTCACTTGTGTTCCCCAGGGTATGTGTTAAATCCTTCACAGTTCATAAAAGTGATTTTGGGTGTAAACATTCTGTCAAGGAGTTGATTCTGTCTGGTTGGCTAGTATCCAAAATATAGCAGGGCTGAAGGCAGCAATTTGTCTTTCCGTGGAGCACCCCACAGTTTTTGATATTTTTCAAATAGGAAAAATTGGCACCGTGTGTGAGGATTCTCACCAAGTATGTTGGTAGAGGCTAACTAAGGATACTGGGAAGGACTAGGGATGCCACACCTCTTTCCCACGTCTTGAATGAAAAACTGAGCTATAACTGGCCCTTGTAGGAGAAAACAGTATCCTTTTGTTACCCCTTAAAACTGTTCTCTCTTAATCCCAGCTCCTTCGCAATATCTCAGTCAAGCTATTATACGTACTTTTTTGGTTCAGTTAACAAACCACCACATTGACTGCTGGACTTCATTCTCAAAAGACTGCCAGGGTTATACCATATTATTTACATTTTAAATTGGTGCTGCATTTAAGTCAATTCTGTGTTTTCAGGGTCAGTTTTAGGAAATGTATTCAGTGGAAAAAGAAACAAATTAAAAACTACAACAAAGATATAGTCTGTTTTGAATTGCAGTTCTAGATACAAACTTCATTGACAGAGCTAAAACCTGGGATTCAAAACACCCTGGTTTTAGAGGTTCAAAATTCAATTTCTCCTAATTTTTAAGTAATGTGTGAAAGGACAAAATGGGTAGTTGTATGGAAATTCTGACAATATAATTTTGTTTTGTTGAAAAATGCTAATTAATTTAATCCAAAAAGTTTCATTATTAGTTTTGACCAACTTTCAGTGAAACGCAGGCAAGGTTCCTGCAGGAAATCAGGTCAACTTCTGCCAGTTTGCCATGTGGGCTGTTTCCTGGCTCTCTGACTTCTGCAATGACCTTGCCACATGAACTGCCTCAAACCTATGGCTTCTCAGCTTTTTGTTCCCTTTAGGGGTAGCAGGTGTTTGGAAGCTTCAACCTAAGGTAGGCTTTTTAAGGCTTCTGAGCCCTGACCCTCATGATGGAGGATTAATGCTTACCTTCCACTCCAGTGAAACCAATCAAGGAGATCCCCACTGTTTGCAGAGTGATGGTGACTACCTAATGGTGCCCCAAAAGTCATCTCCTCTGTCATGGTAGCAGTAGAGCAGATGACCCAATGCTGGCTGGCCTTAAGGGTGCCATGCAGTCATTTACTCCTTACAGTACTACCCTATTATTCTGATTATAAGTCAACCTTGTACATAACTGGACTGATTTTTTTTTTTTTTTTTTTTTTTTTATAATTCCTATTGAGGGAGAAAAAAGGTCCTGTGGTAAACTAGAACAATACTGTAACTCTGAAGTTTTTACTGAAACGTTAGCCAATGTAGAAAATCTGAGAAATTTTAAGAGAGCAGGTACAGAGAGAGAGGTTTCTATTAAAATGTTGTCACTGGCTGTTAAAAGTTCAAATCTAAAATCCAAAAGCAAGAACAAGTGAACTCAGGGGTGGGCAATTATTTGGGCTGGAG